ATTGATACATGTTAAAATATACATTGGAGTGGTTAGATATCAAGTGTATAAATAACTTAATAAACAACCTCTTGATTGATAAAATTGTGTGATACTTAAATTTATGAAGCTATTTTGTATCAGATAATTTTTAAAAGTATCCTATTTTGTATTGTGTACCACAAGCACTATAATTACAACAACAACAAAAAAAATACACATATTGAGATTAAAAAATAAAATATATTGAGACCAAGTTTTTAGAGATACACTCTAAAACTTAATTTAATGTAACTTAAAAATAGTAAAACATTCAAATGGGTGTTCCCACACATAATAATGACTTATCTATATTGACCAAATTCTCTTGGTCTGGTGGTGTGAATTATTCCCTGGGTTTCGGCGATTATCATTTCACTAACATATCCTGCCTCTACCTTTTTGCTACCGTATTTTCAAGGCAATGCTTCATATCTTGCATGAAGATAATCGGATAAAAAATCATTAGATGAGATTGAAATTTCGTTGCTAAGAAATTCAGCAAAATCAGCTACAAACAATCTGGAGTCCCTTCAAAATGTAGATTATACATTATAAAATTGCATTGAACATATAACTCAAAACAAAATCATATAAAAACTTACAAGTGTCGCATCGTTGTTGCAAAATATCTTGTACAAATTCAACATCAAGCGGGTGTTGTGTTTCCAACAGACTTCTAGTTTTCCTTTCCTTGTAAGCATCCAGTGATGATCAGTCAGTTCGCTCTAATACACAGTATTAATATTTTGTATATGCCACACTGCAACTTAATATAATGTATAATGTATCATAGATTTGAATTTGATACTCATTAAACTTTCATATTATGAAAATGACACATTCAATAATATTATTTTGTATCAAGTACATGATATGTAGGGATTGATACTTAAATCATCATATTACAATACATTATATATCATAAGTTGAGAGTGATACATAATTCATCATATTACAGTACATTTATAACTTGATACACTGAAAATAACTATAAACATTATATTTTTATATCAGGTACATGAAATGTTGTGAGTGATACATAATTCAGCAAACTAAAATACATTTATAACTTGATACATTGCAATATGATAAACTTAGAGTTTTATGTATTAACGAGCTTAAGGTTTTATGTATCAAACAATTAAATCGTATAATGATACACTGCACTATAATAAAATTGCTTTTTCAGTACTGTATCATGCATTTGGATCAACTACTAGAAGCAAGATTGAACATAAAAAATAGTGTAGAAATAGATAAAAAAAAATCATTACCTTGGGTAGAGTAGGTCAAAAAATTGTAGATGAAACTTTTCTACCCCTTTTTCAACAATGTATCATGCATTTGAATCAACTACTAGATACAAGATTGAACATCAAAAATAGCATAGAAATAGATCGAAAATCATTACCTTGGATACAATTAGTCGAGAAATTGTAGATGAAAATTTTCTATCCTTTTTTTTGAACGAGTATGATCCATATATATCAGAAAATAAAGATTTTTTTAAAGAAGACGACAATGGAGAAGACGATATGTACCTATTCAGTGGTTTGAATTTGATTGACTGGAGAGAGAATCATTTTGAAAATCAAATTGAGATGAAAATTGTAACTGATAAGATTGTGGAGTGAGATTAGGAGAGGTTAAAAGAGTGAAAAAAGGAATGGAAAAACGTGGGTTGAGGCTGGGATGCTTATGTATCCGGATGACTTGAGAATTGGAAGAAAATAAGGGATTTTAAAAATATTTTGAAATGGTAGGAAATAGTGAAAATTATGAAAATAAAGACGTGTATATATATGTAATTTTCCCAACCAAAAAATCAATCCAAATAAAAATTTGGTTTGCTTTTGTTTGATTTTTCGATTTAATCCAAATAGTGAACACACCTATTGTATAGATTATTTACCCCATCAGATAAATATTGCAAGTTACCAATCGTTCCAAAAAAAGTCTTCTTCCTTAAAATCAAGCTCTACAATTACTTTCTCTCTCCCAAACCCTCCTTCCATATTTTATTTCCTTAACTTTCTTTCTAATTCATGACTTTGATCTCTTCAATGCAAGCACTTTAAAATATTAATGCAATTTTTTTATATAATATTTGTAGTTACAAATGCTTCTCAAGAAAATTGCAATTTATTTATATAGCAATTACAAAAAAAAAAGGTGTACTAGAGAATTCATAAAGCAAAATAAACTCCTCAAGATCAACTATTGCTAAAGCGTTAAAGAACTAGTCACATTATCTAATACATTGAATTATTACTTCACTAATAGTAACAATTTTGTTTAAAAAAATTGAATACTTAAAATTTTGATTAACAATATCAAGGGACACATATTTGATTTACGCCTGAAAAGGAAATAATATTTCTCAATAATAAATTTGATTAGAGTATAACTAGGACTCTAATTAGAGTATTTTTTTTTATTTAATATCTTTTCTTAATTATTAATTTTTTTGCATTATTGTCCTTTAATTTATCTGATGGTGTAAGGAATTTTATACATCGCCAATGTACAAAACTTAAACTCTTAATTCTTTCAAAATATTTGTTTGTTTAATTGCGTAAAATTCTTCAATTTCGATTAGGATTTTAGATAAGGAAAACCTCAAAGATTCTTCTCTAATGGCGGACTCAAAGAGGATTATAAGAGATATCACATTTAATTACCAATTTTCTAGCGATTTTTCATCTTTTGATCTATGTATTACTCAAGGACTAGTTGATAATGTAGGCATGACGGCTAAAATAGCAGAAGAGAGAAGATCTAAGAATATACATGACCTTATCCGCATAACTACATTGTATTCCACAAAAATTGTATACAAAATCATCCATAAATACAAATTCAGATTCATACAACAAAAAAGTATTCATGACTGAGTTATGTATGCATTTTACTTTCATAGTGAAAACTAAAAATTATATCACAATGATCAAAATTATATTACATGACTATCAAATGTATTTTTTTTATTTGTAGTACAAAATATTATTGATTGTATCCCTATATAATCTAATCATTACATATGAATACGATTTAAGAAAGGATACAAGATTCTGGAAAAAAAATAGCATACATAGTCGAAATAATACAATCTATTGAGGAATGATACAATATTCTAAAATAAAATACAACTTCACCGTGAAAGAAATATGATACCTTTATGTTTAAGAAATACAAATTCATTTGGCATACCTATTGGAATGACTACAAACAAAAAAATCAATACAATGTTGTTAATAAAATACAAATGCTGAGTAAAAGAAAAACAAAAATTAATATGAATACAATTTTGGTATGAATACAATTTTTGCAACCTTCTTCTCTGGCTCTCTCTTTCTTGTTCTTCTTCGGCTGCTATATTTCTTTTTTATGATTTTTTGTTCACCAAACCCAAATTTGAATTCGTATTCACTTGTGCATTAGTAAAACTTTGTCTCGTCATCCATTATAATTACCCATGAAAATTAAAAATTTCATGTCAAAACTTCCAAACAAATTAATGATTCAACAGTTAATGAATACCCGATTGATTTTGTATTTCACCGATTATCTCGAAGTTCAAGTTGGAATTTCTGTTCCAAAGTTATTTGTCAACGAAATCCAATTCGATTATTTCACTATTTTCTTTCCACACAAAAAAAAAATGAACGAAATTTGAGAAACAATTGGGAAAAAATTTGATATTGGAAATTTGAGAAACAATGAAAGTGGAACCAATGTCCTTTTCTCTTTGAAATTGTAACTGATGAGAAATTCAAGTGATATGTTCCTTTTTAAAAATATTCTCCCCTGATTTTCTCTATTTTGTTATTGTATAATTGTATTATTTCAAATTAAGCAAATTAAAAAAAATACACAATCAGATATATAACAAACTCAAACACTGACATTTTTAATAAATATTTAAAAGGGGAACTTTTGCATATAGCCACTAAAAATAGCTTAATTACGCTCCATAACTATAGTTTAATTACAATTCGTAGCTACATGTTATATGGAGGAGAGTGACGAGCAGGATCGGGAGAGGGAGGAGAGAAGCGAGTGAGAGAGGGCATAGAATGGGAGAGAGGTGAATTGTATATGTAAATTGGTTAGATAATTGTATGTATATAACTGGTATACATATGTATTTGTATATCTGGCGAGCGAGATTGGGAGAGGGGTGAGGAGAGACAAGCGAGATTGGGAGAGGGAGGAGAGAGGCGAGCGATATTGGGGGCAATATTTTATATAATTTGCGGATACGTTTGTATAATTAAGTGTTTTTGTATAATTGAGTAATATAAAGTCTGTAATATATTAGATAAATATGATAAAACTCGAAATAATGAATTAACACAAACATAAACATATGAATTTTAAACAATTATACAAATTATATTATACAAAATCCAAAAACTACGTGTTTATACAAACTTTAAAAAGTTATACACAAAAAGATTGAATGTATATGGTGATAAAACTGAAAAATCAAAGGAAATGATGTCATATACAAATACAAATCAAACGAACAATTGTTAGTTGCGAATTATACAAACGTGACTAATTATATAAGCTCGAAGTCAGCCCACGTAATTAATGATTAATGTTAGTCGCGAGTGGTAATTATAACAAACTATAGTTATGATAAATAATCAAGTAGTATAAGTTTATTCAATCGCGTAATTTTTCCTATTTATAATGTGGCTAAGGGATCCTATTCAATGCTAAAATATTGACATTTTAAAATTTTTCTTCCGTTTATTGGGGTTTGGACGGTGAATACTTTCTACCTACTTTCTATGCTGGTCCCAAGCCCAACAGAAAAGGACAGGCATACAAAAATTAAAGCCCATCCAACGCCTGAAAGCGGGATCTTCTTATACTTCCTTTTCTCTTCTTCCTTTGTTTTCCAGATTACTTCAAACGAAAGGTATCGCTCTTTGTGCTGACCAAAAATGGGGGATCTGAAGATTTCGAGCAAGGCTGAGAAGAACCTCGGCGGATGGGCCCTTTTCGGCTCCAAATACAAAGACGCCGCTGATCTGTTCGATAAAGATGGCAACTACTTTAAACTCGCCAAATCATGTTAGTTCATTTTTTCCATTTTTTCTACACGGTTGTTTCTCGTTTTACTAAGATCTGATAATTATTTTTTTAAACCCTAAATTCATATTCTGGTGATCCCACTCAGCTTCTGTTTTTAAGATTTCATTTCTCATCTAGACCAAACATCATTGTATGAATTGCTGTTTCCAAATTATTGTGTGAAAATCTGTATAAATTTTCATGTATATTCTCATCAGACGATCTTCCATATTTATTTTGTTTGGTCCAAGTAATTAGCAAATCCCGCAAACTTGTGTAAAATTTTGTTGGATTTGATTAATTAAATTAATTGTTGGAGCATCTGGGAAGATTGTTATTTCTATTATTTTTTAATCTTCTAATCAACTGCAGCATTAATCATCTAAGGAGAGTTATTTACTGAGCAGATTTTATTCTTACTTTGGACATGTAGTGATTGAATGGGTTATAACTTGCTTATAGCTTGGTATATAGGCCAATTTTGTAGACAGAATTGATTCAATCTGTAGACTGAAAAATACCATTTTCTCCAATTTAGACTTTAAATTGTATAAGATGAACATAATTTTTTTAATGGTATAAAAGTGAATAAACTTCTTAAATAAGCTCACTGTTTCATAAATTCAATCACCCTAGTTGCATGCTTAGAAATTGCAGAATAATTTTTTGTTACCTGATTCTTTCAGGGGATAAAGCTGGAGCAGTATATGTTAAATTCGGCTAATTGTCATCTTTAGGTAAGTGTTAATTCATCTGTAGTAAGTTATCGTCTCTCATTGATGCTCTTTACTTTCTTTCTTTCTTATAGATATTTTCAGTTCTTGAAAGTCAATTTACTTTATGTTTACAGTTGGATAGCAAACATGAGGCTGCAAATGCTGCTCGTTACTACAAGAAGTCAAATATTAAAGGTTTGTAAGTCACGGAATAATTATTTGCTTCAAACTAGCATTTTTATGTTGCATGCTTCCGATAAACATAGAAGCAACATCTTTGGATGTAAGTCCGTTCTGCTCTCCATATAAGCCTCTTTTCATTAGGAGCTTCTTAGAGGTTTTGCATTTAGTAATATTATCTTGTCCCAGGACAAATTATATGATTGTTTGTTCTCGTCATACTTGACAAATTATATGATTGTTTGTTCTCGTCATACTTGATTAGACCTTGTTCCAAATTAGTTTGTCTACCATCATAAGCTGCTAAGTGCACTCCTTTATGGGTGAGATTGGTTTTCTTGATATTAAAATGACACTTGCAATTTGTTAATGTATAATAAGGCTGGTAGAAGGATTGGAGTGTTGCACTGCCAACTATCCTGGGATATAGTTATGATTTAAACTTTCTTTCAGCGATAAGTTTCAGATTAATTAAAAATAGAAAGAGTTCTGAAACATTTGGAAACTATTGAGTTAATGTTAAATAATTTTAACACAGTAACTTTACTAGATTAGTTTGTAAGATACGCAATGATTATAGGGTTACAAAGAAGACGAAGACGAAGTTATTGCACTTATGCAGCAAGAAACTTCATGCATTAATACATAACATCAAAAGTATCTATAAAATACTATACATAGAAGTTTACGCACAGCATCGTTTATGATTTACCATATTGGAACAATAACTTTGTAGAATTTATTGGAAGTAAATAATTCACTCCCATTTATTTGAGACTTTATAATAGGAAGATCTTAATGTGGATGATAATGTGATCTTTTTAGATCTACATTGTAGATAGTATTCCTAAGCAACAATGACAGGATCGCCAGAGAGGACATAGTGGACTTACAGATGATTATTAATATTTGGATCATCTAATTAAAGAACTTCTTGATATAAAACAGATATAGCCTTTGCATATAAAATTGATACAGGACCCCATTAATTTAACTAGCAGATCTGACTCTTCTGTATAGTATTGAGTGAAGAACTTGAATGTTTTTCTTTATGGAACTCAATGGTCTCTTGATCCAAGGACGGGGAGCATTAAAGTTATTATTGTTGTTTATTGTTATTTGTCGTAACTATTTTTGCAGATTTCATTATGTCTTTCCTCACTCCCTTCTCCTCCCCCTCTAAAACTTCTTCTTCTGGTACTATATCTTCTACCATTTCCTCCAATTCTAAGCCCAAAGAAGAGATTGGCTTCTCAGATTTGCAACAATCAATTGACGACGAGAAAATCCCAAATCATCCCCAATTTACCATCTATAAATCTTCCAGATTGCCTTTAACAAGTGACAACTATATCTAAAAAAAAGAAAAAAAAAGTGACAACTATATAACTGAAAATATAACTATCTTCATTTTGGGATTGTCCAGATTGGAACTAAACCTCTTTCTAGAGAAGGTCTAGATATCTCACTTCTTATCTGTCAAAGAGTATCAAGGTTCTTAGACTTCAATGATTCCCTCTTGGGAATTATAGAAACCACTCTCCGCAGCGGTCCTATTTACTTTGACCGTTTTCCAAATTATACTGTTTCTCTCAAAGATATTGATATTTTAGATTCTTTCACGCTCAATGTTAAAACTTTCAATTACAAGACCAAAATCGGATCTCTCCCAGTAACAATTATATATAGGATCCACTATAAGGCAATGAGTTTGACCTTCAATATTGGAGCTATGAGAAGTAGCTATAAAGGTGAGACTGTGCTTTTCAAAATAGATCTGCAACGATCTCATCTGTTAGTTCCCATGACAATTTCTTGGAGTCAAGTTTCTCTATCCCAGAACAGGTTGTTGCAAGATACCACTCTAGTCGAGAAACTCGAAAATACTACAGTCTCCCAGATCCAACAATTTTCAATGGATGTGTGTATTTGAGTTTGATGGTGCTGATTTGAGAGTGAAGTTATACTAAGTATTAATTATTTGTCAAGATATACCCATCATGTTTTCTTTTCACCATCCTACATAAACTATCATTTAAATATTCGTTCTCTCAACAAATAGTCACAAATTATGTTCTTCCTAGACTAAACATCATATAGATTTAACAAGGTCTAAATATTTTAATTCATTCACCAAACAGGCTTAGCTAGTCATGATTACTTAAATTTTTCATTCATAGAAACATTTCAATATGGACAAGTAAATTTAGTTATAGAGAGATATACAAATGTCAACTTTGTTGTCAATACCGATTAACAAGGAAAGTGATTAAAACACAATCCTAAACCTTTATCTAAAAAATGACACAATTTCTCATCTCATACTCAAACAATCACAAAAGATTTAAAAATAAAAGACAACATCTTCACTACGCCATCAAGAACTCCACAAGTTTAAAAGAGAGAAAAATAAAAATTAAGATAAAGACACAAGTTTAAAGCGAAAACATGAAAGAATCAAACATACAAATCAAACAAAAGAAATACTATCAATAAAGCTTGAAACACTATTACACAGACACCTTCTTCTTTTTCTTAATAATAATAGGGAGAATGATGAAATTTGTCATATCATTGTGTAGAAAGAATTTATTATACCTTTTTTATTAGTTAAAAAATATTTCCGTTGTTATAATCTTGAGTGTTGTTAAAAATGTCGGAGGCTTGGTTGAAATAAAATATGTGAAAATAACATATTGATGGAATTAAAAGCCACAATTAGAAGCTAATTAATGAAGGGCAACAATTAGATTCCAACATTTTTAACAACACTCAAGATTATAACAACGACAAAAATATTTTAAAACTAATAAAAAAGGTAAAATAAATTTGTTATACACAATGATGAGGCAAATTTAAGTCTTCTCCCTTTTAAAATAAGAAGAAGAAGGTATTTGTGTAATAGTGATTCGAGCTTCTATTGATAGTCTTTCTTTAGATTGATATGATCTTGATTTTTTCATGTTTCCGCTCAAAGCTTGTGTCTTTATTTTAATTTTTATTTTACTCTTTTAAGCTTGTGAAGTTCTTGATTTTGCACTACAATTGGTTTTTGATTGTGTAGTGAAGATGCTTTGCCTTTTTTTTTTTTTTTTATCTTTTGTGATTGTTTGAGTAGGTGATGAGAAATTGCCATTTTTTCGATAAAAGTTTAGGATTATGCTTTAATCACTTTCCTTGTTAGTCGGTATTGAAAACAAAGTTAACATTTGTATATTTCTCTATAACTACATTTACTTATCTGTATTGAAGATGTTTCTATGAATGAGAAACTTAAGTAATCGTGATTAGCTAGCCTGTTTGGAAGATGTATTAGAATATTCAGACCTTGCTAACTCTATATGATGTTTTGGTCCAGAAAGAACATATTTTGTGACTATATATGTTGAGAGAAAATCTTTTCAAATTATAGTCATATATGATGGTGATAAGAAAACATGATGGGTATATCTTGACCTCAAATCAGCACCATCAAGCTCAAACACACTGATATTCTAAGGTTTTTTCAAGAACCAATTTTAATGCAAAATCAAGAACGCCACATAAGTCCCTACATATTTACAAATAAACCCTTCTTCTAGAATTCTCTACATGCCTAGAATATTCTAAGGTTTTTCAAGAATTCTTCCTAGATATTGTAGAGTCTTTCCAAGAAGTTCTTCATGGCTCTAGAATCTTCCCATAAATGCTAGCATACTTAGACTTCCAAATGGACAACTTTATGCCACGTGGCGTAATGATGTGGTGGGTCATGACCTACCGCTAAACTTGTGTCTTATCTCCTTAAAAGTAAAAGTACTCTTTTTTTTTTCCTTAGGTACTTGGAGAATGCCAATATGAAAATGTTCAATCTGTGGATGTTGTGTAAAGATGGTTGACCTCTGTTTGGATTGAATTCTGAAGCTTGCAGACAATTTACTGGTCTTCAAGGTATCTTATATATTCTACAATTTAATTTCATGATTGAATTAATGTAGAATTATTCACTATTTCTTTTACAGGAAAGTCACTTGAAAGTGGTTATGTTGCATCTGCAGACTGCACCATCAAGTATTCCGTTAAAGAAAGAAAATGGTTGAGATACTACTGATCGAACAAGGGTATCCAATGCCAACTTTCAAGGAAAGGCAATTCAACAACAATCAGTTTTGATCAATTGAGTTGAGAGTTCTGCAATAAAAAGCACAACCTGGAATAAAATGCAGTAACTAAGGTTCTGGATTGATTGTTGGAAGGACACATATGTTTTTCTGCACACATTGTAAAGAGCATGTATAGAAACACTCGGGATAATTTTTATTCAATATCCATTTTTATCAGTCTACAGTAATTGTTAAGTAGTTGAATTGTTAGTCTTTCATCTTTTGATAGGGTTCCAATGGTAACTACTTAGAGATTCCATATACAGTAATTGTTTTGATCTGAGACTGCCTAAAATTATTCATCTTTACAAAAGCTGATCTGAGGTTGCCTGATTGTGACCATAGAGGAAGAATATTCTTTGGCTTATTTAGTCAGCAAAAATAATTTAGGATACCATAATGTCAAAATGGCTTTTTCTATCTATTATTATATGACTAGATATATAAGAGCCATGCAAGCATTGACCTAATATATATTATTTCATTTGTTTGAATATATGTGGCACAAATGATATTAGGAGAATCAATCAAATTTTTATATACATTTTAAATATTTTAAGTTCTTAATTATTGTAATTAATAGTATGTTTTAACGTAATTTTCAAATAATATATGTTACTCACGTTGTCTCAATTTATGTGGCAAATTTTGTAAGTCGATTAGTATGTTCTTTTAAATTTTTTAAGTTGTTAAATTTTGAGTCTTAGCCTAAAATAGTCCTTCATCTTTGGATTAAGATTCAAAGTCATCCTTGAGTTTTCACATGAAACATTAATAGTCCCTCATGTTTGTAATATTGGTGCACTTTTGGTCCTCCAAAATTTTGTCTATTTTTTAACATTTATTTTATTCATAATTTATGTATGGAATGTTTAATCGTCATTTTATATATTTAGTAGTAATAATAACTCCATGTGAGAGATTGTGAGAAGAAAAACAACCATATTTTGTTTAGTAGAAATCGTATTGCAGGTAAAGTCGAGAGGTTCATCACGACGATTTCACGTACAATAGTACAAAATTTTCTTTTCTTGCAATGTCATATGTTAAAATGTTCTTAGTTTAGCTACAATAATATTTATACTGAACTGAACAAGGTGTTCTTCTCACCTTCTCTCACATACAGTTACTATTTCTACTAAATGTATAAAAAGACGATGGGACATTCCTTACATAAAATTATGAACAAAATTAATGTTAAAAAGTAGGCAAAAGTTTAGAGGAGGACCAAAAGTGCACCAATATTGCAAACACGAGAAACTATTAGTGCTCCATGTGAAAACTCAAGAATGACTTTGAGTCTTAACTCAAAGATGAGGGACTATTTTTGGCTTCTCTCTTAAATTTTAGTGCAAAATTAAGTGATTTAGGAGTACTTTCTTATTTTGTTCTCGTGAGTCGTGACCACCTCAACTTTTGGAAGTTGATTTTTAGATCCGCTGGAATTTCAAGGGGAGTTGGAACAATAGACCTATTTGGATGAATCTTTTAACTTATTTTGTTATTTTAATCTAAAAATAAATATGTAAAAATAGTTTTAGTTATACTTAATAATGAAAAGAAAATAAATTGCATTGACCAGATTTGTTTAATTTAGATGTTTTCTTTTTTTAAAAAAAACTAATCTTTGATTCTAGGAGAAGACAAAAGGAAAATTATAAAATAAAATAAAATAAAGTAAGAAATCCAATTGAAGTGACCATATTAATTGTATTTTCTAAAAAATAAGAATAAAGATAGTAGAATATATATAATAATAATAATAATAATAATGAAAAGAAAATAAATTGCATTGACTAGATTTCTTTTATTCAGATCATATTTAACTATAAAAGATTCTTTAAGTAAATTAGGTAAACTAAATATCCAAATAGATTCTTTCAACATTTCCCCAACTAATAATTCCATCCGATAACTGAAGTCGTCACGTCTCATCCATATCGTCGGTAATCGTTATTGAAGATGACTTTCATGATAACTCTTTACTGTTGATTTCGCTGTTATGAACTGAAATCTACATCGATGTTGAGTTGAATGTTAGCATAGAGACCGCCACACTAAATAAAGATGTACTACCAGATGAATGAAACATGCTCGATCTAACTCTAGTGCAGACAAAGAGTACTCTAGAGATGTAAACGTAGACGTCGTCGTCTGTATATCTAGAGTACTCTTTGTCGGCACCAAAGTTAGATTGAGCATGTTTTCCTCATCTAGTAGTATGTCTTTATTTAGTGTGGTAGTCTCTAAGATAACACTCAACTCAACATTGATGTAGGTTTCGTACTGTAACATCAAATTTTTTATGATGAAAATTAATCGTGAAAGTCATCGTCAATAATGATTACCAATGGGGTGGATGAGACTGTTAGGTTTTTGCCCTGATTTTCTTACCATAATTTAAGATTTATTTTTCCTTAAAGAAAAGACAAAACATTAACATAAATGTTTTTACTTTTCCTGAAAGAAAAATATAATATTCTTTCATATTTGGTTTATTCTTTCCTTTTAGGAAAATGTTTTGGAGTAGGTAGTTCTTTTCTAGTAAGAAATGTTTTAGGACTCTATAAATATAAATTTGTTCCTTCTAACACAATAGAATCCACAATGTAGTCGTTTAGAGAGTTTTGTTTATGGGGAGATTTATTCTCTCAACAGTTTTAGTAATTTCTTTATATTAGTTTTGATATAATAATATTTTGATTTTTAGTATAAGTTTTTTGTTATCTGATTTATCAACTATATGATTTGCATATAGTAAGCTTCCACATGATGCCCAATCACCCTTCAGAACCCAACAAGTGGTATCAGAGCACATGGTTTAAAGATCCGGTGGTCCTATGGTTCAACGAGGTTGAAGACAAGCTCAAGATGGTTTTAAATCAATTTGTAATCAATTTGATGATAATGAAGATTTTTTGTCAAGCTACATGTGGAGAGAAGTTTCAACCATATTTTCAAAATTCCTGTTGCTGCAATTTTTAAGAATAAAAAAAAATATTTTTAACTCATTTTTAACCCATATATTTTAAACTTTATTTTTAACCATGACAAGCAACAATGATGAAGATTTTGTGAAGAACAAGATTATCATGCAATGAAGAAGACAGATCAAACTTTGTCAAGAAAATACAGCCAAAAGAGGAGATTTGTTAGGGTTTTACCCTGATTTTCTTATCATAATTTAAGATTTATTTTCCCTTAAAAAAAAGACAAATCATTAACATAAATGTTTTTACTTTTCCTGAAAGGAAAAATATAATATTCTTTCATATTTGGTTTATTCTTTTCTTTTAGGAAAATGTTTTGGAGTAGCTAGTTCTTTTCTACTAAGAAAGGTTTTAGGACTCTATAAATATAGGTTTGTTCCTTCTAACACAATAGAATCCACAATGTAGTCGTTTAGAGAGTTTTGTTTATGAGGAGATTTATTCTCTCAACAGTTTTAGTATTTTCTTTATATTAGTTTTGATATAATAATATTTTGATTTTTAGTATAAGTTTTTTGTTATCTGATTTATCAACTATATGATTTGCAAATAGTAAGCTTCCGCATGACGCCTTAATCACCTTTCATAACCCAACAGAGCCGGTAGCGGCCCGAGTCATCATATGAAGTTATTGGTTGGGGAAGTGTTGAAAGAATCTGATTGAGTATTTAGTTTACATGATTTACTTGAAAAGTCCTATTTATAGTCAAGTATCATCTGAACTAAAGAAATCTAATCAAAGCAATTTGTTTTTTTTTCTTCCATTATTAAGTGTATATATATATATATATATATTATTATTATTATTATTATTTAGAAAATACAATTAATCTGGACACTCTGACTTGGATTTCTTTCCAAATTTTTCTATTTTCTATTTTTTCTTTTCTCTTCTCCTAGAATTATAGATTATTTTTAAAAAAATATATAAATTAAGAAACATGGTCAATGCAATTTATTTTCTTTCCATTATTAGGTAAACTAGGTAAATTATTCGTGCTTCGCACGTGATTGAACTATTTTCTTAAGCTTACATATGATCATTCGAGAATATCCGTATTTTCGATACATACACTATATTGTCAAGAACATTTTATGAGAAAATCGCCAAATGACCCCCTAATCTATAACCGGATTTCCAACTACACACTTATACTTCACGGGGGTCCTATTACCCCCCAGAGCTATTTTAAAGTGGAATTACTTCCTCCATGAAATGTCATTACCAGACATCTGTCTTGTGGTGAAATACACACACTTGACATGTGTATTCACCATTTAATGAATGTTTTTAAAAAAAACAGTTCTCCTCCTTTCTCTTTCTTTCCCAATAGTTTTTTCAACTCTAACTATACTAAACACCAATTTTTACCTCAATAAATTTCTATATCTCTAACATTTTATAAAAATGAAAATTCAACTCACCTTTTCATCTACTCCGAATCTCTAGAGTCTAGAAGATAGCGATCCTAATTAATCAAATATTTCATCCAACTAATTCAACAATTTTCCACGTTTTTTTACATTTCGTTCGATTTTCTTTCTTAGACAATTTCAGATACACATTAAATGGGTCATGAACATTCGAGATCAGATTCATCCCTTGAAGATTCCGCCGACAACTCAAAATAATCGCGATGCGAAGACCAATTTGAGAAACCTCTCTCTCTTCCCCATTCTTTATTATTTCTCCCTCTAAATTTTCATGATTAATTTATAATTTGAGTTTTTGATTTTGATTCTTCATGAATTTTAGGAGAACATGTAGGATCCTTCTTTCAAAATGTAGAAGAAATTGTTTTGTTTTAGTTTCTTTTATTAAGTTTGAAAATATTTTTTAAATATACAATTACTTCACTTTGATTTTGTTACTCTTGAATCCATCACTTTAAAAAATAATAATTAATGGGTATGTTTTTTTTAAAAAAATAAATTTAATTTGTTAGATATGTTTTAAATAAGTTTATTGAAAAATTATTTATTCATTAAATGCATTTTTGTTGATAATTTTTATTTCAAGCATCCATTGAAAAAGCTTCAACAATGATAATGGTGAAAAATGTTGTATAGATAAATAAGAAAAAAGAGAAAGAAAAAGAAAACTATAAAAAAAATGGAAAAAAATAAAAATAGGCAACTCACTCTCTCAAAGAGAGTGAAATACACTCTCCATGCCAACTCAACACTTAAGGGGTTATTTATTCCATT